CGCTGGCGGCTGGCTTCCTGCCCCTGGCCTCGGGGGCCCTTCCTGCCGGGCCAGGAGAGTCTTTGCCGTGCTCGTTAATGCCTGCCTCCATCCCCAGATGAGGAGTGGCCAGAAGCGGAGAAGGCTGAGAAGTTGGCGAGAGGAGCCGCTCTGAAATGGGCTTCAGGGGTTTTTTACCGCCCTGAGAAACTCGAGGGGCTCGGGAAGTATCGGAGCCGAGAGATGCAGAGGAACAGCTCCATTCAGTCCCGGCTGAAGGTGGGTGTTTGCCACAGCCCACCCCAGGGATGCCCGCAGCCCCACCACCTCCCCCGGGCGGGGATCCCAGCCAGGGTCCCCTCTTCTGTGTTGGATCATCTTTTCTTCCCCCACTTCTTGCAAAATCTTGTCCTTTGGCTGGCGCTTGGTGGGAGAAATGCAATTGTTTGGGGGAAAAGATCTGGTAAAGCCCCACAGCACCCCCTGCCCTCCCCCTGGGCAGTGTCTAAGTGTTAAAATATCTCTAAAAGTGTAAAAAAAGTCTCCCGTGTGTCCGACCATCCTTCAAAACAGAACACCAAGGGTGTTCAGTGCATCCCGTGGGTGGGAATCAGCTCTCCCCATCACCATCCCATCCCAGCACCAAAGGCTCCCCTTCCCCATGGCTGGGAGGAGGCAAAGAGCTCCAGCCTGACCCTGCCTGTGGATCCTGGCAGGAGAAACATCTCTGCACACACCTGTGAGGGCGGTCCCCGGTCCCCGGCCACACCTCCCTGCCCAGGGCCACCCATTTTGCACAACCTGAGGAAGGGTTAACCTCAGGACCCAAGCAATCTGAGCACCCCAACCTTCTCCTGATTGTTTGGGAGATGGTTTCTCCTACCTGAATGTGGGTGAATTGGCCATGGAGGCAACTGGCTTTGAGTGATGTGGCCGTGGAGAAAACAACTTGCTTCTGGTGACGCTGGGTAAAAGTGCTCCTTGGCACCAGGAGCTGGGAGTTAAATGGGCAAACTGGGCATGGAGATGTGCCAGCGCCGCTGCAGGGCTGGGAAGAGATGGAAATCCATTTGGGAGGAGGGTTCGTATGGCCACCAAGGTGCTTCATGCCGTTAACATTGGGGGGTACATGGGAGCCCTCTGGTGCTACTATTTTGCAGAAGCAAAGTCATATTTTCAAACTAAAAGGAGACATCTGGTTACTGCTCGCCCCGCTGCTGTGCTCACCCCCTGCTCCCACCTCATGCGCAGCAGCCATTGCCCCATCCCCATCTGAGCCATTCCTACTGCTGGAGTGGGCTTCTAGAGGCCGTGTGGGCTTGGGTCCGATGGGATGGGGTCATGGCAGAAGGTCTGGGAGGTGGAATGGTAGGATGGCGTGATGGCAGAGGCAGGCGGGACCTCGTGGGGCTGGGAGAGTGCGTGCGAGAGGGACCTCGCAGGGCTGGGGCAAATGGTGCGGGAGTCCTCCAGCCTTTGGGGGCTGCTCCACTGCCCCACCATCCTCTTCTGCTCCCCAGTCGACTGTCCAGTCCTACCTGGAGGGGGTAAGTGCGGGGCTGGAGCAGCTGCGGTCGGCGGCCCAGGAGGTGCAGAGCGTGTGCCAGGAGTTGGGGGCTGCGCGGTGGGCCCTGCTCGACAGCGCAGACCGCTTCCAGGGCCTCCAGCAGATGCGGGCGCTGATGGCAGAGCACGTGCAGCTGGCCTCGGTGGTCCAGGTGCTGCCCCAGCTCTTCTCGGGTAAGGCACTGGCCCAGTCCTTGTGGATTTGGGCTGGGGAGAATTTGAGTCCGGGCCTGGGAGGGCTGGCGGCAAAGCTCGAGCGGGTCACTCTGGCTTTGCCAGTTGGGTTTGGAAAGTCTCCATGGATGGAGATGCCACTGCCTTCCTGGGGCCTGTGGTCCAGCACAGTGTTCCCAGAGCCCCAGATCTCCGACCCTTCCCCTCACCATCTCCCTACTAACCTGTGCCCGTGACCCCGATGCCCGACCTCCTTCCCTCCCCACGCTCAGTCCCAGCATCTCTCCTCCCTCTCCTGCAGTCCACGAGGTTTTTTCCCACACCCTGCAGCTGCTCCATGGGCAGCATCTCCTGGAGGCCCATGCGGAGCTCATGACGATGGAGCACCTCCGGGATGACATCCTCTCCCAGCTGCACCTCCGCGGGCTCTCCAGTGCCCAGACAACGGTGCTGTCCTACTTCGGTGGCCTGCGGGAGGTCAAAGAGAGCCTGGCCAAGCAGCTCTGGGACATTGTGGGCAGTAGCCTGCGGCTGGTGCACGAAGACCCGGTTCTCTTTGTCACCGCTGTAAGGATCATTGAACGGGAGGAAAAAATAGATGATACTCTGCTCCTGGAGGCCACCTTCCTGCCCCCTGGCCGCCCAAAGGGCTGGCGGCAGAAGTTCTACCGCGTTCTCCAGGAAACCATCACAGGAGCTCACTTCCATGCCATCCGCATGGACGCCGAGGGGCCGGGGCTGGCCAAGCACCTGGTAGCACTGCAGAAGGATATCGTGGCTGAGCTGCGTGTGGTGAAGGACCTGATGGTCCAGTGCGTCCCGCCTCACTACAACATCCTCAGCCTCTGCACTGCCACCTACCACCAGGCCCTCGCCAGCCACCTCCAGGACATCCTCCGAGAGGACCTGGACAAACAGGCGCTCTTCCTCCTCCTTGAGTGGGCGCTTCATGTGTATCACAGGTCAGCACCGTTGTCCACCAGCACTGAACAGGGTTGTTTGTCCACCAGCACCCAGCTGGGTTGTTTGTCCACCAGCACCCAGCTGGGTTGGCTGTCCACCAACACCCAACTGGATTGGTTGTCCACCAGCACCTAGCTGGGTTGGCTGTCCACCAACACCCAACTAGGTTGGCTGTCCACCAGCACCCAGATGGGTTAGGAGAGTGGCTCCAGCTGCCTGAGGATGACCACGGGGTGGGCAGAGGGAGAGGTGGGAACTGCTGGAAAATACAAGTCTTCCCAGCTCTGTCCCACCTCTGCCCGCCAGCCCAGAGATGATGGGTCACCCTGACCTTCTCCCAGAAGTGGACGTTTCTGCTCTGGGTCCCTTGTTGTCCCCTGAGCTCATTGATCAGATGGAGAGGAAATACGTGGTGAAAGTCAAGGTGGGTGAGTAGGACGGCACACGTGCAGTGGGTATGAGGACCAAACACCCACCACTGAGAGAGCATGAGCCTGTGGGACAAGGCCCAGGACTCGCTGCTGTGCTGGGTGTTGGGTCTCAAGGGAGCTGGCACCTATTTCTTGGGCTGACCATGGTGGGCATCCATCCCCCAGGCTAGCGTGCTCGAGTGGATGCAGAGGACCCTGGAGGTGGAGTTCAAGGAATGGTTTAGGGAAGAAGAACCTGAGACGGACCATCAGGGCTTCTTCCAGTCAGCCCTGCCTGTCATTGTCATGCAGGTGGGTCCCATGGCCATGCTCAGAGCCCCCAAAAAAGGGGCCGTAGCCTGCAGCCTCCTGCTGACTCACCTCCCCTCTCATCTCCCCATGCAGATGCTGAATGAGAACATCCACGTGGCCTCCTTGATCACAGACTCTCTGCAGCAAAAAGTCTACAACATGGCCTTGGAGGAGCTGGAGGCGTTTCTGGGCCGGTCAGTGGAGCCCCTCGCACCCCTGCCCACCCTCACAGCCCTGGCTCCCCGGGTTTGAGCCCCAGAGGCTGATGGTGGAGATGTGCCGTGGGGAACCCGGCGCTCATCCAGGTCACAGGAATCACAGAATCTCAGAATGTTAGAGATTGGAAGGGACCTCGAAAGATCATCTAGTCCAATCCCCCTGCCGGAGCAGGACACCTAGATCAGATCCCACAGGAACGCATCCAGGCGGGCTTTGAATGTCTCCAGAGAAGGAGACTCCACACCCTCTCTGGGCAGCCTGTTCCAGTGCTCTGTCACCCTCACCGGGAAGAAGTTTTTCCTCATATTCAAGTGGAACCTCCTATGTTCCAGCTTGAACCCATTGCCCCTTGTCCTATCACTGGATGTCACAGAGAAGAGCCTGGCTCCATCCTCCTGACACTCACCCTTCACGTATTTATCAGCAGCATGTCTACCCGTGGGGCTGCTGTCCCAGCCCCAGGGGCCATCAGCTCGCAGGGTTTTCTGCCCCAAGTGTTCTCTGGTAGCGCTGAGCCCTGCCCTCCCGAGGTGTCCAGAATGGGTCCCACTGTCCCACCCTACCCAACAGCCCGGCTCTCCCCGAACTGGTGGCAGGAGCTGGAAGAGCCAAGTGAACTGGGAAGGCTGGGGGAGGTCCCCGTGGCCCCAGGAGCACCCCAGCTGCAGGTCCTGTGGCGAGAGGTCAGGGGCTGTGCCCACCACGGCGGGGGACTCGCTGTGTTGCAGCCTGCGGGAAGCCCTGGTGCAGTGCGGGAAGGAACACCAGAAGGACCGGACCCGACCCAAGCACTACGTCTCCTACCTGCTGGCCACGCTCAACAACAACCTGGCTCTCGGGTAACGTGCACCAGCACCTTGTGGGTCTTGTAGCAACCCCACTACTCACTCCCCATCCCCACGTGGGACCAGGACTCGCTGTGTTGCAGCCTGCGGGAAGCCCTGGTGCAGTGCGGGAAGGAACACCAGAAGGACCGGACCCGACCCAAGCACTACGTCTCCTACCTGCTGGCCACGCTCAACAACAACCTGGCTCTCGGGTAACGTGCACCAGCACCTTGTGGGTCTTGTAGCAACCCCACTACTCACTCCCCATCCCCACGTGGGACCAGTGTCCCCACTGTGCTTCCCAGGCTACCTGTCCCCTCTCTTTTTCTCTCTCTCCTAGCTCCTCTGTCTCGTCTCTGCACCCCGACGCTGCCCGCAGAGAAGTCCCCACGTCCCTCCGGGCTGCTCTAGACAGGACGCAGAAGAAAGCCTGCCAGCTGCTGCTGGAGGAGCTGCTCCTGGACCTGCAGGTGCGTTTCCCCGAGGCTGGCAGGGCTGCAGCAACCCCAGCCCCAGCAAGAACAGCCGCGCTGCTGCACCCCCAGGTGCAGGTTAATTCCTGCCCAGGATCCCCCGCACGTGCCCCATGGCCACTACCATCCCGCAGACATCTCTGCCAGCCTGGCTCCCAGCCCTCGATAAACCGCCAGCAGCTCACCCGCTGTCTGCCACCCCCCGGCACCACCCCGTGTTGCTGGGGTAGGTGGCTCGTGGCCCCCAAACCACTGACCGACAGGGACTGGGATCCACAGCCCCCCGGGATGCCTCACACTCCTTTTTACAGCCGTTCTGTGGCAGAAAACCAAATGGAGAGAGGCAGCATCCGTGGGGAGGATACAACTGCCTGAGTCGCTTCCTGCCAGTGTGGTCAAATTTAGCTTTCCTGGAGTCTGGACCAAAAACCAGGAATAATTAACGGCGTTGCTATTTTGGGCTTGAATGCCATGAAAACAAAGGAGCAGCCAAAGGGCGAAAGGCTGGCAGGCAGCACCAAGGCTGCCCCGGCCGGCAGAGACATGGGAGGAATGTCTGCCTGCAGGCAGCACGGGCAAGGACAGCGGGCGGGAGGAGGGCAAAGCCCTCGGCCAGAAACATGTCTACACAAGGGAACTGGAAATTAGGAATGAAATCCCAGCAGGAAAGGCCAAAAGCGAATATTTGAGGAGCAGCTTGCTGCCCAGACCCCGGGTGCTGCCCATGATGGGGCATCATGACCCAGCTAAAGTTCCGAAATGGGGATCTCTGGGTGTCAGGGAGGGGCAGCCCCTGTGTATTTCCATAATTGCTTAATTTAGACCATTTGTGTATTTTGCTGTTGACTTTTGGCTGTCAGTAGGGCTTGGGGGTTTTACAAGGCAAAGCGGACACGCTGCCGGGCAGTGGTGGTGGGATGCGATACAGGCGCTGGACGCAGCTCCTCTGCCTCTTGCAGCCCCTCTGCCTGCAGCTGCCTTCCCGCAAGTGGCTCTCTGGGTCCCAGCTGGTCAGCAGCATGTGCGAGGTGATTGACAAATATGCAAAGGACTTCTCCCGCGTCAGGAAACCTCTCTACATGGTACGGCTGCTGTGGGGTGTCCTTCGAATGGCTGCTCGTCTGAAAGGCACGGAGGCTGGGCGGCTGGGTGCAGGGTGCAGGGGGGCCGCAGGCGCTTCTGGGTTTGCCAGAGAACCCATGTGAGGACACCACCATGTTTGATTTCCCCCAGATGCAGCTACTTTCTCTGTCCCGCTGACCAGGGGGCTTCCTAGCAGGCTGCCCTCGCTGCTGCCGCAGGCGCTTCTGGGTTTGCCAGAGAACCCATGTGAGGACACCACCATGTTTGATTTCCCCCAGATGCAGCTACTTTCTCTGTCCCTCTGACCAGGGGGCTTCCTAGCAGGCTGCCCTCGCTGCT